TTTTTTTTAGCTAAAATAGTTTTTAAATATTTCTGTGGTATTTGGATAAAGATAAAAAAAGTACCTTTGAACACTTGTTCTAAAAACAAAAACATTTTGTTTTGTACTAATATTAGGTTATATATTAGTTAGTATTATAATAATATAATATAAATTATTTATGTAATTATATAGGGGAAATGCATAAGTACCCCAGCCTATGCCCAAAATTCCTGAGACACACCTAACCTACTAAGGTCCTATTACCACCTCGAACTTATTTTATACTCCCTCCGTCTCATTTTATGTGGCAATATTTGATCGGACACGGAGTTTAAGAAATAAATGAAGACTTTGAAATAAATGATCAATATTATACATAGCATATTATTATTTTACAAAAGTAACAAAGCTAGAGTATTGACTTTAATGATCAAGAAATTAAAGTAATACCTCTAATCATAGATAAAGCTTAAAAAAAAGTCAATTTTTCTATTTTCCACTTGATATTCGATATTCGTATTAATTGAGGTTGACTAAATTTTGATTTATGCATTGCAGAGTTCATTTATAAGGGCAACACTTTGATCCCAACATGATTTGACCACTAGTGAAGAACAAACGAAAATCTCAACCATCCCACCACAATCCATGTTGATAAAAACAAAGTAAATATATAACATTATAAGTTAACCCTGCTATTATCATGAGAAATAAAATAACAACATGACTAGTAGAATTCTACAAGGTCCGGAAAAATTGAAGTCACCAGAGTGTACGTAATCTTATTCTTATCCTACCTTATGAAAATAGAGTTTGTTTACTATAGACCCTCGATTGAAAGATAAGTCATCGTATTTTTCATAGTGTACTTTATTTTTTTGGGTCTCTTGGTACTTTCCAAAGACCAAAAAATAAAAATAAAAATAGTATTTTGCTAAAGGATGAATTATAGAAAAAAATTAATTTGTATCCAGGTCAGTGTTACGTAGGAATAGCTAAATAAGGATCATCTCAAAGTTGCTTCTTTAACAACCAACAAAACATAATAAAGTTGAAAAATACAAAAAAATTTTTTGACTAAATACTCCACTTGGGATCAAATCAATTTGTCATCTAAGCTTAAAAAACAACTAAACAAGTCTATGAAAATGACATGTCATTTTTAGAAATTAATCATATATGAATTTACCTTATATTACTCACGCTCCCTTTTTCATCATTTAATCTTCACTTGTTTTGAGAGTTAATTTATGTAATACAGTAGATCCGCTAAAATTCTTATTAATGTATCTTTGTCCTCGATATCTTTGATTAATTTAAGTCTTTACTTTTATGAACCAATGAAATAGTTCTTGTACAAAGAGCATGCCGAGGGGCTACTATGCTCATCGCGCACTTGCATTGCTACCTGAACTTTTTCTTTATACTTTGAACCCCTGAGCAAAAATCCTGAATCCGCCACTGCTTATATACATTAATAGTGTAGATCATTTTAACCTAACGTATGTTTAAAAGACAATATTTTAACATTAATTAAGATGTGGATACATGTCTATATAAATTATATTACTATCTATTTACGAAAAATCTTGCCGTACGTTACTTGAGGGAGGACTTTATCAACAAAGTTAAGTCTAGACGTTATGGTCAGTATTAATTAGTCAAGAAGACCTACCCTATTTGAATGATAAGACAAACCAACTAATAATTCAACAAATGTATGGCTAAAAATTTGTTACTAGTGAAGCAAGTTGAAACAATATATTTAGTTAACTAATTGAAAATGATATTTTGGAACGTAGACAATAATATTTCTCACTAAGCAATAATATAATAATTTTAAAAGGTTTAAATTATATACTTCATCAAATCATATTTGTCTGTTATAATAACAAGTAGTATGTATTTTTAAAACTACAAATTTCATATTTTATAAAGACTATAAATAGATATTCTTTAGGTACTTCATCTGATAATTTTTAATTTATTTTTTATATCGATAATATATATTATTTAAATTCGTATGAAGACATATATGTAGTTGAAAGATCTAACAAGTAAGTATTTTCAAACAATTTACTATGGTGGGATACTTCTTTCAAAGATATATATCCTTATCCACACTTGTACTAAAAGGAGTTTTGACAATTTCCAAAATAAAAATTGGAGAAATATATTTGAGAAAAAATTGTAGAAAACAAATTAAATAAGAGTTCTCAAAAGTTCAAAATTTTGTATATTTGAACTGTTTCACATAATTCAAGGGTAAATTAGACCTTTTGTACGTAATATATATCGACAAAGTTAGAGAGAAATTAAGCTACTGCATTTAACATAACCTTATATTTATGTTAATCAATTCAATGACAACAACAATAAATATAATGTAATCCTATAAGTAGGTTCTGAAAAGTGTAGGATGTACGTATGTTTTACCCTTAATTTTATGGAATAGAAAAACTATTTCTGATAAATTAATTCTTGGCTCAAAAGAGGAGTATTCGAAGCATGATTAGAAATTTACTTAATATCTATTTTTTTTAAAAACTATGTATAATTAATATATTTAAAATCCATTTAGCTACTTGTTTTATTATTAGATTCAATCTTTTGATATATATAAATATTTCTGTCCCAACTAAACTTACAACGATATTTTTGTACTTTTTGTCAACTGATGATTTTAAAATTCAAGTTGTACGAACAAGTACATGAACTAATCAACAACCTTCTAGATATTTAGATAAGTCTAATTTTATTTTATTTTTACTATAAAGTATTTGTCTGACTTTAATTTACTCACGTACACCTCATGAATAAGGTTATCCATTTTGTTACGTATTTTTTTATTCATATACGAAGGTTCTTGGTAGTTTCCTAATGCAAATACAACTTGAATTATTTTATTTTATTTTCGAAAACTTAAATAACAATAAAAATAATTTTAGTGTAATTTCACGAGTGGGATTTGTAGGGAGTAGTTTGTACATAAAAGAATAATAGCAAAGAAAACAACAAGCAATATTAATAAGGGGAAAAAAACCTAACTATACAAAATAAGCATCTAAATAACCACTATTTGCCAAAAACGTTGTAGTGGAGTGGTAACTGATAAGTACTCATTTATCTTTAACTAGAGGTCATAGGTTCGAATCTCCCTCGGTATGAAATCGCCTTTGTTGGGAAATATTTTATCCCTAATGTGAGACTTCCCGACACAAATCCAAATTTAGTCAGACTTCAGTATGATACCGACTAATAATTAAACCCTAATCAGAATGCATAAGATATTACACAAAAAATAAAATATATAGAAGTTATGATGTAGTGTGAACAATTAAATATTATATAGTACTATATAATAATGAAGACATGGTACATACGAATGTTAAACGCGATTAGCGCACACATTTTCAGTCAATTAATTAATTACTAATTGATAATATGTTTTTAGATCTTACATAATCTTTTTTTTTTTGATACATCAAATATCTATGTAGTATATTAAACTACATCAAATATCTGTGGGCGTGACCTATTTTTACTCTGGTAGAGTTGTAAATACTCTTTATTCTTAATTAAACATTTCGAGTTCGAACCCTATTAAATACAGAGCTTTAACCTCAATATGATATATTTTGACTTGAATTCAGATTTAATTAGATTTCTATACGGATATCAAATACCGAGTAAGAAAACAAGAAAAAAAAGATAAATAGTTGTTCAACTTACATTTTAATTCTTTCGAATTAAAGAAACAAAAGTGTGAATTGGACTAATAGAATTTCTAGAAAAAATGAAATTGCCAAGAATTTACATAAATATATTTATTAAGAATTAAAATGCTGGTTCACTATAGTCAACTTTGCAAGTATTAGACTTGTAGTATATCTAGTATTAATATTTCCTAATTAATATGTCATGCTTACGTGCTCCATGACATCACTTTATTAAGTTCCTAATTAAATACCACTAATTTAAGTTCCTTTTTTTGAATTAAGGGTGTGTTTGGCACATTGGAAAATACTTTTAGTTTCTTACTTATTTTCTGATGTTCGATAAATCAACAAAAATATTTCTAATTTTAGCAAATACGATTATAACCGGATGGGTGGGTTAGGGGTGGAGATCGAGTGATAAGGGTAGCAGTGGGGGTGGTGGAAGTAGGCAAGGGGTCGAGGGGAGTGGGGATGGGCGCGTAGGCGAACACAAACTGATGATAACAAATTCATCTGAACTCATTACTTTTAACGCAAAATGTACATTATGTGTAAAAATTCATAAATAATTTTGCATCGAATAGTACTAGGTATGAATCTATAACTTTTAAAATATAAGAGATTCAAACGTTCAATGCTAAGAATCTTAGAGGTTGAGCATATAAAAATTAAATCATGAATTCACCTCCTGAATGAGCAAATGGGAAGGCAAGACGGGTAACAATAAGTAACATGAGTGGGAGAGACAATCAACACAGAGTTTCACTTACGATATACTTGTTTTCCTAATTTAACAAGCAAGTCATTTGCTCGATATTTGTAAAACAGATGTGACGTACGGTTAAGTATTCTTATAGACGAAATAGTGTTCTTTCGGAACTGATCATTGTGCATCACCACCTTCCACCTATCCTACACAATCGACAAAATATTTTCCAAAAACGTTATCTTTGCTGACCGATCAAACATGAAAAAATTGAAAACCCTCCTTAACATACCAAACACACCCTAAGCAAAAAAAAAAGAAGTTAATCAATCATAGCAATAAACCCCGGTACTAATGAGAAAGAGAATAAATCTAACTTACTTATCCCACAAGAAATCAACATGCCCAATTTCGTCATGACAAAAAAGTCAACTAATACTAGTCAAACTATCCAACTAAAAATCTTTATAAATAAATAACCTTCCACCACAAAAACCTAAAAATATTTCATATTCTTTTCTTCCTCTTACCAAAAAAAAAAAAAACCATTCACACCAAAAAAATTAAAAAAATTCTCAAAATTGCATACAATTATGGTGGTTCTACCAATGAAAAGAGAAAGAGAAGGAGAATTTGATATAACAACCATGGCGAATTACTTGATGTTGTTTTCACGTCAAGAAAATCATTTTAATACGATGGTGAACAATTCTCCTTCTCGAGTTTTTGAGTGCAAGACTTGCAATAGACAATTTCCTTCATTTCAAGCACTTGGTGGTCATCGAGCAAGTCATAAGAAGCCAAGACTAATGGGAGAATTGAATTTTCATTTGCCAACTTCACCACCTAAGCCAAAAACACATGAGTGTTCAATTTGTGGACTTGAATTTCCTATAGGACAAGCTTTAGGTGGACATATGAGAAGGCATAGAGGTATGTTGAATGAAAATAATAATAATAGTAATAATAATATTCAAGTTCCTCATCATGATGTTGTGAAGAAATCATCAAATAATCCAAGAGTTTTGTGTTTGGATTTGAACTTGACACCATTGGAAAATGATTTAGAGTTCAAGTTGAAGAAGGCAAATACTTTAGTTGATTGCTTTTTGTGATCAATGAATAATATTGGACCAGATCACGAATCTAGGATAGGTTCTATGAGTTCAAATTATCAATTCATCATTTACACATATCCTGAACTCACTGATTCTAGGTTCTGAATTCATATCGATATATATATATTGCACATATATCAAAATCCCATCTAGACATCTAGACGTTTGATTATTAGTTTTTTTTTTCTATTCTATTTTCTTCTTATGTATTTTGTACTAGATATGGATTTATTTGTTCGTTTATATAAGGGATCTAGGACCTTAGCCCTTGTAGATGTAATATATAGTACCATATTTAATTAGTGTAATTAATATATACTTGATGATTGTTTTACATTATGCTTTTTGTATCTTTTTTTCGTCGATAAGTTTAGATCATATATATCTATTTCCTTCCCAAATACTAAAGTTAATTTAGCAAGTAACAACAATAATAATAACATATCAATCAGTATAATTCCAAAAGAAAAAATCAGAGAGGGTAGATCAATAACATACATAAACCTTATCCATCTCAACTAAAAAAAATGAGTACTATTCAAGTAGAAATAATTTTATTTAACGATAATATAAAAATTAAAATGTAGATTTGATTTTTATTTAGATGATGATCATGCATGTGTGAACATTTAGGCAAAGTGTATATGCTAGAGGTGGTTCACAACAACCCCTTTTTTTGGTTTGGACTTAATTATATTAATTTGACCCGTGATTTATGCTTATTATTTGATGACATTATTAATATTTGAGTCTTAAATGAGCAAGAAAATTATCCACTTCACATGTGATCATAGAATATTTTTTGGTCCGACTAATTAAGATTCGTATTTTATAAGACTCTTATATAAAAGTCGAATCGTGTTTCATAGAAACCTTACAATATTGATTTTTTTTGTCAATATTTTTTTTCTTTTTATTTTTTGGTATTTTTATCCGAGCTTTCATATTGTATTTCTCAAACTGTTTTGAAATATTTTTCTTGAATCAACAGTCTATCGATCAAAATTAACAATCTCTCTACTCCATAAAAGTAGAAATAAGGTCTTCGTACACACTATCCCTATCTGCCTCCTTAAACTCCACTAATAAAATTACACTGAGTATATTATTATCGTTTGACAGGCCGGTGGTTGATCATTGAGACATTTAAATTCCAACGGTATTGTATCAATAATCACAAACTAATAAAATTGTCAACATCAATTTTAGGTATCACTTGACTTAATTAGAAATGATAATTACATATATATAAATTCATAAATTAATGAGCTAAACTAAATCAAAATTCTTTCATTACTACAGAGTTATGTTATTTGCTATAGTAAATAGTTATTATGATGGAATTATGATCTGAAAATTCGAAAACTAAAATATATTTATACGTAAATACGTACAATGTATACGATCATAAATTATATGAATATGTATGAATCGTATAAACGAATAATTAAATCTCTATCTAGTAAAGATCCATAATTAAAAGAAATAAAAATGAAACAACAAATAAAAGTACAATTTTTTTTTAAAAAAACAAAAAAACTAAGCGTCTATATATTATAAGTTCAAATAATTATAAGTTTGTTTATTTCTTTATTTGGTGTGAAATGGAGAGTTGTTATAAATGGTTTTGGTTGAATTATATAAGAATATAAATTGAGGATCTCATGGAGGTAGGTTATTTATATTATTTATAATATGGTGATAATATAGTTGGTTAGTTTGACTAAGATTAGTTGACTTTTTAATTATTTTTTTTGGTAATGACGAAATAGGCAACATTGTTTTGTGGAATAAATTAGGTATATTCTATTAAAACAAAGTAACTGGGAGTAATTGCAAAACATTTTTGCAAAATCATTATAGGACTAACCGTAACGATCTGGATAGTAGTATGTACACTCTCATTATTTTTATAATATTTTTTTGAGAATTTAGATGCCAATTTTACAAGAATTAGTTTTTTGTTTTTAAATTTTTGTGTGTGCTAGTTCAGGAATACTTTGATAATATGGATTTCGATCGATTTTTTTGTAAAACCTTTACGGAACTCCTCTGTAGGGAGTTGGGGGAGTAGTACATACAATCTCACAATTTTTACAGTGTTTTTGGGCATTTAGGGGTCAATTTACTGGAATTAGGAGATTTTCTCAATTTTTCGTGTGTGTTAGTTAGCCCATGAATATTTTGGTGATATGACTTTCGGTCGATTTTTTGCGAAACCTTTAGGGAACCCTCTATAGGGAGTTCGGGGAGAGATAAGTACAATCTCACAATTTTGAGGCATTTTTGGGCATTTAGGGGGTCAATTTACAGAAATTAGGAGATTTTTGTCAATTTTTCGTGAGTGTTAGCCCATGAATATTTTGGTGATATGACTTTCGGTCGATTTTTTATGAAACCTTTAGGGAATCCTCTATAGGGAGTTGGGGGAACAGTATGTACATCTCACCATTTTTAAGGCATTTTTGGACATTTAGGACTCAATTTACAGGAATTAAGAGACTTTTTTCATTTTTTTTGTGTGTTAGCCCATGAATATTTTGATGTTATGACTTTCGATCGATTTTTTTGCAAAACTTTTACGGATCCCCTCTGTAGGGAGTTGGGGGAGATGTAAGTACAGTCTCACAATTTTACAACATTTTTTGGCATTTAGGGGCTAATTTATCGGAATTAGGCATTTTTTTCCAGTTTTTTTGTGTGTGTGTTAGCCCTGAATATTTTGGTTATATAAATTTAGGTCAATTTTTTTTGTGAAACCTTTACTGAACCCTTTGCAGGGAGTTGGGGGAGCAGTACATATAGTCTCACAATTTTTATAGCATTTAGGAGCCAATTTACATTAATTAGACAGTTTTCAAAGTTTTTTGTGTGTTGATCCATGAATATTTTGGTGATGTGACTTCGGATTGATCTTTTTGGGAAACCTTTACGGAACCCTCTGTAGGGAGTTGGGGGAGCAGTACGTACAATCTCACCATTTTGAGGTATTTTTAGGTATTTAGGAGCCAATTCACAGGAATTAAGCGATTTTCTCAATTTTCCGTGTGTGCTAGCTCATGAATATTTTGGTTATATGACTTCTGACCGTTTTCTTTGAAAACAAGCTTGATGAGACACTCTGTAATGAGTTGGGGGAGCAGTATGTATAGTCTGACCATGATCCACATCATTTTTTGGAATTTAGGGGCCATTTGATAGGAATTAGGCGATTTTCTCAATTTTTCGTATGTGTTAGCCTATGAATATTTTGGTAATATGGCTTCATGTCGATTTTTTTGAAAAAACTTTATATAAGATGCTCCGTAATTAGTTGGAGAGTTATACATATAGCATTACCATGATCCACGACATTTCCTTTTCTTTCTTTCGTCTTCCTAATTACTTACTTAAACTTCATATCAAAATCTCCCAAATATGAAATTAAAAATATGCAGGTCTACATCTGTACTAGTTAGTACTTATTCGTACAAATATGAATTCTTATAATATTTTATTTATGGAGTTTATTATCTGAAATGGAAGAGTCGTTCATACATAATATTAATTATTCTAATTATTTTTTTATAATACTAGAAGGTTAATTAATATTGGACTGAATGGAGCCAGCTTTATTGGCTAGGTACATTGGTAAATAATTTAATTAGTATTGTAATATTAAATTATAAATTATTAATTATACAGCTATTAGGCAGCTTGTCAACTATATTATGATGCCACCCCTTGCGTGTAGTGATGTAACTAAATATAAATTAATATTTTCAAGCAACTCGTCCTTATTTTATAAATTATTTTTGTAATGTGCGATATAGATTTTCATAAGCAATATCGATATTTTTCTAGAAGAGAGAAATAAATATTAATTATGATATATGTAGACAAGAGATCATGACGTTGACCCATCAGTTTAGTTTGATTTTAGACCACAAAAGATCGTGAATTCGAACCTCAAACCTCGAGAATAAAACATGTGTTTAACCTACATGTCAAGCAACGCTCAATGCTAATTGATTTTACTTTCTTTCTATATATCATGAATTTCTACATATATAAGATTAATATACATGTTTAGTAAAATTTTCTAGACAAAGTGATGTTCTGTGCCACCGTTTGATTAACGTAGATCCACCCCTTAGTGTGCATATATATATATATATTTATTTATTTTTTTTAAATTCAACTGAGAGTATTATTATTATTATGCAAGCAAGTGATCACAAGCTTCTATTAGAAACAATTTTTCTTACCTCACAAAAATAATGGCAAGTATCATGTACACACTTATGTATTAGTACGTTATTATTGCAGGAGGTCATGAAATTAAATTTTACAGTCATAAAATTATATATATATCAACTTGTATGGGTTCCACGATCGTTTTCACACCTACATATACTAATTCAACTTGTTGCTTAGTTCAATTATTAAAATTTTAGCCAAAAGTTAGTTGGAAGAAGTTTTGTTATTTTTCATCAAATAATAATTAATTGCTTTGACTAATAATAGTGAACATTATAGTCAATTGAATAAGTCGTCACTTGAATGTGTACTAGCAAATTGACAAGTCATAGTCATAGGTGTTTAAGTTGTCATTTCTTTTTTCTTTTCTTTTTTTAAATACATTTATTTAATTTAATTATCCCAAATAAAAATGTTGTAGGTATATATATATATATTTTTTTTTTTATTATTATTATTTTCACCATCTCAACAAGATTTTTTTTGTTCTCCTGCGATTCGAACTTAACATCTCTGATTAAGGGTGTAAAAATCTCAATCATCCGATCTCATTAATAAAAGATCATTATATTTTGTTTCTCTAAGAAGGAACTTAGAGAAATAAAAAGTAATATTTGATTTATATATACAATATGTTTTTTCAGCGAAAAATATTCAACTGACCACCCTTAGTAACATCGCTCCAATCCTATAAATACATAAATAAACCCCTATCTAGAACATGATCCATAAGAAGAATTAATTAACTTAATTCTATACATCTAGATAGGATTTATTTTATCCAATGTTCAATAATCACAAGAACTCTAAATGATCATTCTCCAATGGTGGCAAATTCAAATCCAAACACAAAACTCTCGGACTTTTTAATTTCTTCACAACATGATGAACTTGAATATTCTTATTATTATTTTCATTCAATATACCTCTATGTCTTCTCATATGTCCACCTAAAGCTTGTCCTATAGGAAATTCAAGTCCACAAATTGAACACTCATGTGTTTTTGGTTTAGGTGGAGAAATTGGCAATTGAAAATTCAATTCTCCCATTAATCTTGGCTTCTTATGACTTGCTCGATGACCACCAAGTGCTTGAAATGAAGAAAATTGTCTATTACAAGTTTTGCACTCAAAAACTCGACTAGGAGAGTTGTTCATCATCGTGTCAAAATGATTTTCTTGACGTGAAAACAACATCAAGTAATTCGCCATACTTGTTATGGTCTTAAATTCACCTTCTCTTTCTCTCTTTGTTGGTAAAACTACCATGTTTTGATGTAATGTTTTGAGAAATGTGATTTTTTTTTTGTGGGGGGAAGGGGGGGGGGAGGGTAAGTAGGGGGTTTGAATATATGTTAGATGTGAAAAGGGAAATTTTTGGTTTAATTGGAGAAGAAAGAATGAAAATGAAAATTTCATGGGGGTAGATTATTTATAAGGTTTATTAGTTGAATAGTTTGACTATGACTAGTTGCCTTTTTCTTTTGTTATGACCAAATTGGATAGTAAGTAAGTAGGATATCTTTTGTTTGAATTAATTTGGTTAGTTTAACTTATGTGCACACATAATATAAATATTTTTTTTGCACAATTAGATTACCTAAAGGATATCTATAAATAACCTTCATAAAAAAAAATATAGGATTTTGTAATATGGAAAATAAGATATTCATTTTTTTGCATTAGTGGTGAAGATTTTAAGATACGTAATTTAGCATATTATACCATTTTATTTGCCTTATTTTTCAGATAACTTGTTATATTTATCTATGAACAAGGTATATTGATCTTTCAGGATTCCAATGATAAAATCAAGAATTGTTTGTCCAAGTTGTTGTAGAAGTAGACTTGGAATGGGAAAAATTATTGCATCATGTATATGTCACACCTTTCTATTTATCTACTATAAAGTTGTAGGAACGATAAAAGTATTTTACATGTGATTTATTGATTACAAATTTGAGTTGTGAAAATAACCATTAATATAATTAATATCTATATTATGATAGACTGATCACACCATATGCACCCCTTGATCAGATGCGACCTTAACAAAATCCTACGTGAATATAAAATACTTTGTGCATCAAGCTAAGATGCTTCTTTAGGCTCATGTTATGGTAATAAATAATAATTAAGATAATATCAAAATGAATTATCTTTTTTTGTGTGTGTAAACAAATGGATATGTATCTATATATGTAGATGGAAGTAGGTGAAAAATGATAGAAAAATTTGCTCAAGTATTTTGAATATTATTATTGGTGTCTTTTGGGCAATTGCAAGTGTGTATTTGGTGAGCCATCATTGAATGTATTGATGACCCTATGTGAACATAATGGATATATATACTAGTCTTTTTTTAATAATTTAATCTTATTATATATCATTATTATGTATTGCGATTTATATAATTGAGACTCTTTCATTCTTTAAACGAAAATTGAGTTCACGATCTAGAAATTGTAACATCTTGGTGGCAATGACGGACCTACGTACCTAGCAACCAATGATGTTCAAACACACATTGTTTTTGACTTAAGCATGGTTACTCTTTTTCAATAAATAAAAATCAAAGATATATTCTCTTTCTTACATATTTGAATGTAAATTCACTTTCGTTTTTCTACGAAACAAATTTTCTTATTTAGAATGAATATATTTCAATGAAAAAATTGAATATTTTGTAGAAAAATTTGCTAAGATATAATTGCACAATCACCATCACTCCTATAGATATAACAAATATCACTAACCACTTCAATTATTAATTATTAATTATTGTACAATCATTTTCAATCATCTTTTCTATAATAATATATTCAGTAAAATTACACGAACGAATTTGAACTATATGACTAATATATATGTTTTTATAAAATAAATTAAAGGTCGTGAGTCGTGACTGACCATTAATATTTTTGTAAATTTGTGGCATTTTCATTCTTCTACAATATTCTTTTAGTCCTTTCCCACCTAAGTTTTTTTTTCTTTTTTGGAAAAAAATTAATTAAAATTAAAACTTGACAAGTTATTATCACTTGTCACTAATCATCTGTTGGGGGTGGGTAAGTGTTTATTACACTAATAAATTCTAATTAGTTAATAAACACATCAATATACACGCACTTAGAGCTATTATTGTGTTGTGGTTAATTTTATACTTTGGAAAATAAAAAATTATTTATTACCGATAACAAATTTACAATGATCAGTACATGATATGTATCTTTACATACACTCTTATTAGTAAAATCATAAATCATTATTATTATTTTTTAAACTATACTTTGATTTATGACTTAGTCATAGTAAATTAATATAATTTACTATAAATATTATATGTGAGTCATATAATATTAATATTATATATATTTGACTTCGATTGTTTAGTGCCGCTCATAAATTTTGTTATAATATCATCCGTTTCGATTTATGTGTAAGTGTTATTATTTGAAGGATCTAGACAGTTTTATTTTTTATTATAATTTTATCGATCTTTTATTAAATCATTAGCAATATTAACTTGTAGAATTTTTTTATATATAATTTACAAAAGACAAATTTAATTTAAAAAAATTATAATCAAATTAATTAATATTATTTTCGACCCTCATACTTCAGACTTTTTCATATAAATTGAGGCAAATCGAGTACATATTTAATATTAATTAAAATATTGTAAACATATACGTGCTAACAATAATAGTTTTGGTGATGATGCTCTTATGGGGCCCTTATCATGCATTAAATTATTTTGATTGTTTTTACTTTGAATTTGCATTAAAATTAAATTGTGTATATAATTTTTAAAAATATTGGGGTAGTTGTCCGTACTTATTCATGTACTTGCCGTACATAGATGGATTAATATAATATTATATTTTCTGGAGTTTATTTAATTTTTTTTAATGTAAAAGTCTTGCATATTATTCTACTTATTTTGATAATTCTAGAAGGGCTAGAAATTGGATGCACCCCTTACATATAGTGATGTTACTAAATACATTTTCCAAATGAATTTTAAAAGGATCGTTTGATGCACAAAATATTTTGTGTTTATATAGAATTCAGAGATGAGTCGTATCTCAAAGGATTTGATTATTGATCTCTTAATTCATATATTATGCCTATTTTATTTTGTAAGTGCCTTTTCATATATTTGAAAAGAGGAGGATATATATAATTACCTAAAGGATCTTTGAGAAATTATGTCGACATGTTGAATATAATTAACATTACGCATTATATTTATATTATATATATTAGTTAATTAAAAGTATGTTATCTCTAAATTCAAGTTATTTTTTTTAATAAGAAGATCACACGATTTAATATGATATAAAATCATTTAAAAGGTCTTGGATTCAAATTTCGTTCCCACAAAATGAAATTTAACGTGCTTGATCCATAATTTAGAATAAAAAAAACATAAGAAATAATAATATGTGTGTGGAAGACATGATACAATCACCCATTTTCTTTATAAACTTTTTTCAAAGATGAAATCAGATTTTTTATTTAAGAGAATCAAAATATAAAAAAAAGTAAATGCAAGAAGACTTTATTATATGTAATTTTTATTTTATCTTATTATTTGTTCGATTTTTAGATAACTACATTAAAATTAATTTGAATTTGCTCATTTTCAATTTTCACACTACATACTATTATTCAACTAGCTTGAATGAGTAGAGAGTATATGTGTGATTATTCATCAAATAAATAAGTGCTTAATTTGACTATAATAATAGTAATAACATCAGCAATATAATTAATCATTAATATTTTTTCATTATTAATTAGAGATTTCATCGAATTCTAAATATGAAGTCACTTTTAATAAAAAGCGATTTATTTTAAAATAGACTTTCCAATATAAATTTAAATTAATCAGATCCGATCCAAAACGAATACCAAACAGAGAGTCGGTAGCCAAAAAATATAATGATAACATAAAGAGCATAGTCTATAAATTTAAGTCGTCACTTAATGTGTACTTAGAAAAAGGACAAAGTCAAAGTCGTAGTTATCATATACTTAGAAATTAGTACATTGATTTGATCCTAATTACTAGAGTTAGTCAAATAAAAGCATTATACTTTTCAACTTTTTTATATTGTATTTTTGATTCTTTAAGAAACAACAAATTAATAAGAAATAAATATCTTTATTTTGTCATTCTTACGTGACACTGACTTGGATCCAAGCATGCTAAAGTTTTTTTGTTTTTTTTTTTGGATTTAATTTATATTCATAATTATATCCCGGATAACGCTTGCATTTTCTGTATTGCCATCTTTTTCTTATTCGAAAAATTAATTTCTCCAAGATCTGAAAAAAATATAAGTTTCTTAGTATATTTATTTCAACGCCAAATATTAATTGTGAAAAAAATACATACTCGACTTATTGTTTCAATTTAGACATTAATGTAATGCTCCTCATTTAATAATTTATTGACTTTTTTGTGAAAATTAAATGAAATTAAGAAATGACTTTTTTATTGTAAATGTCATCCCTCGTCACCTTAGTCTAAGGTTCAAATTAATTGTCATGTTTCACTTTTTAAAATATTTTTAAGTTAAACGTATTGAGAATAAAATTGACTTATTTTTAAAGTTCAAGGGTATATTTGGTGTTTTCACTTACTTTATAAATGTGTTGTTCGTATTACCTACCATACATGTACAGTTCGACTATTTAGTTGGCTATATATTTCTTAATTAATCCCGCTATTCGCATAACGATTAAATAATTTTGTCCAAAAAAATTTAGGGGATGAATTAGGACACCTATACAAATTCAGTCCAACTCAATCATGTAAATCTAAACCCAATTAATTAATAGCATTTGACATCACGACTCTAAAATTTAGTCGTTATAAAGTTTGAATCTTGATCACTCCACTTTTGTGAAGACTTAGGCAGACGGAAATTAAAGAATTCACATGTTATGGGGCCATACTCATAAATGTTTACCTCATTTATCACTTTATTATGCTAAATTATTATAATTTGATGTAAACACGAAATATGATTAAATATTTTTTTGGTTAGAGGCATGTGGAGAGAGTACACACAACATCAATATTCAGCTTGGAAGTCAAAGATATGTTCATCTTAAAAAGTCAGTCATGCTGTACAAATCATAGAATATATATTATATGGTCATTTTAGTTAATTTAGTTCAATGTTATATGGTAAAGATTCTTTGACTTGAAAGCAAATGGTTAATGGACTAATGTACTTCAATCATAGTTTCTCCGAGCAGAAGCAGATTCAAAATTTAATTTATTTCTTTTAAAAAATAATATTATATTTTAAGAGTTATAAATTCATATTTAATATTAATTACAAATTTTATGAATTTTAATTTTTAAATTTATATTTCAGATGAACTCGGTATTATCACTTTACGTCTACCTATTGCTCCTAAGTGTGGGAAGTTATAACTACCACTACTTTTATGACAAGACATAACATATTTTTTCAATGTTTTTCGATGACTATTAGGTATAATTATAATATATATATATATATATATATATATATATATATATATATATATATATATATATATATATATATATATATATATATATGTCAATACATTAAATGTGCTATACTTTATATTTTAATAGTTATTATACAAAAGAAGAAAAAGTCATATTCGATATTCATGGATTTTCCTTATTAGTTTACAGTAATTCAAACAAAAAGAGGAAAAAAGAAGGTAGTTAATCAATGCCTTTGAAGATTATGTTTTAGTTAAAAATAAAAAGGAGTAATTTTCTTTTGAGAGACGGATCTAGGATTTAATTACAACGATCTAAAGTTAACGTAAGATAATAATTAAGTTTACGGTTAAATATTTATAGATATTTAATAAATTTTTGATACATATACTATATTTAGACAAAATCTATATCAACATATTGTTTTTCAAGATAACTACATGTAATTATAATATATTAATAATATAAATAAAATACACTCTCAATATACATAACTTAGAAAAGTAGTATTTTCTTAAAAGAGTATTGCAAAGTTTCAAATTGGTAGTTACATTGAAAGAGAAATTAAACCAATCTAGAATGTGCACATATTTCTCCTAATAATGAAACTGATATACATATAAGTGAGTTGAATTGAGACAACAAATATAAATATCCTTTGTTGACCACTTTAGATACATTGATAAATATTTGTCCGCGTTCGATATTTACATCAAATCATATCAATTTATTAATTATAATTAAGATAACATAAGGATTTGTTAGCAAATATATATCATGCATTTATTATTGCTTGCTCGAAAATATTATTTAATAAAGTCTTACATACATGTTACTTATGTAATTAGACAATTTGAAACTATATACATATAATGTTTAAGTTTTATGCACAGATACAGAAAATATACATACAATCAAATCATTTAAAATGTAATCGTAAGTTACTCTATATTGATTGGTAACCAAAAATAAATGGTAAATAACATGATATAACAAGATAAAAAATATATTATTCAATCAAGATATCCATCAATTGCACTTCCTTTAAAGTACGTAACGGGGTAGATTAAAACGAACAAATTGAAAAGTTCACTATTTTGAAAACACTAAGGGGTCGTTTGATACAAAAATTAATAACGTTGTCAATGCAGCCCAAGTTGAAGTCCAAGTACCTGCTAAGCCCAAAATACATTTTGGGCCCCTTAGCCCATTTAGTGTGACTTGGATTAACAAATCAAACTTATGTCTAGTGAGGTATAAGTTCTTTAAAGGTGCGGAACATAACTTATGAGATACTAGTGAAAAACCAAATGCATCTTCACCTCCCGATCTAACTATACAAATGACACACCACATTTTAGAAGTCGGATGTCTATCAGACACTGTGTACACATCACCCTTCTCAGACCCCATTTGTAAAATTACACTGAGTATGTAGTTGAATTTCAGAAGTTGGAGAAAAGAAAGCAACACACATATTGAAGCAGTGAGAAATTCTAGTTTCAATGTCTTTTCTCCTTTTCAGAGAAGATCTACTTATTTGGGCAGTATAAGGCAGCCCGATAAACAAAGCATCTCGCACGTTCATGAAAGGTACGAAGTAGAGCCACACACCAAGGGGGTGTGATATATGCAGTCTACCCTGACTCAAGCATCAGTGACTTATTCCATGACTCAAACCTGACCTATGGATTATACGAAAACAACTTTAACGTTGCTACAAAGCTTCCCTTTGGATAGTATAACTAACATCATAAAAATTCACAGTTGTTAATAGTTGGTGTCTTTTCACAAGATGGTACTTTTTCTTGACTTAAAACTCTACATGGATCATAATCTGACACTTATTCTGCCAGCTTTTGGAACTACAAAGAATTGTTGAGCATATCTCAGTTGAGAGGAGAACAACCTAAGGGACATTAGGTGGAAGCTTGTTAGCTAAGTAGAGAGCAAGTTTCTCTCTTTGAATTGAAGCAGATTTATCGGTAGAATCACCAACTTGTTGCCCATAGTCAGGATCATGATGATGAGTAACTGGCACTTCATCTTGAACTCCATCATCTAAATCGATGAGAATGTTGTGCAGCAAGCAGCATACAAGAATAATCCTCGGTAACTTTTGCTTATCGGGCCTCCACATTACTCCTTGAATGATCTTCCATTTATCTTTCAACCTGGCCAAAGCCCTCTGTGCCACCTTCCTAGTTGCAAAATGCCGCTTGTTGTAATCAGCTTGGTGATCAGAAAGTTCACGTCCTGTGTAAGGAGTAAGAAGCCATGGCAAAAGGGGATAACCTGAGTCACCAACAATGTATTCTCTTAGTTCTGTGTCGTTTGAGAGGTTAAATTTCTCTCCACTTAGCCTCTTTCCTTCTTCAGTGAGTTCGAAGAATCTTGAGCTTTTGAGCACCTCAGAGTCACTTAGACTACCAGGCCAGCCAGCTAAAACATCTAGGAATCTCATATCAGGGTCGACGATTGCTTGCAAAATCATACTGTGATTCTTTTCCAAATCGGACCAGACTTTACTTGATGGATCAGCTGTAGAGAGGCAAAACATGATATGTGTGGTATCAACCGCACCACAACAATTGGGAAGGCCTCGGATGTTCTCAAATTTCGACTTTATGTCTTTCATGTCATCTTGATTTGTAGGCCAATGGATATGGTGAAGGCCTCTTTCTTCCATGGCTTCCACAAATCGCCAAGTTATCTGAGAGACAGTAGACTGGTGTATTCCAAGAGACTCACCAACAATTGATAGTGAGTCGCCTGAACTCAGCCTTCTCAAAGCAACAGCAACTCGGTCATCTAGAGACAAGAACTTACCGCTGAGATCAGTTATGTTCGTAGGTTTAGACATCATAGCATCCTTCACAAGTGAACAAATGTAGCTGAATGTCTTCCTTGAAAGTTTGAACATAGATTCAAATGTAACTGAATTTCCTTCCTCTACTGAAGTCCCTGTGAAACAACAAACAAAAAGGGGGTCATATCTCATGGCCGCAAATATACTGAAACACAAAGTTAGGCCTTTTAACTGATGAATATTATCTCAAGCACAAAAAAAAAAGACCCTTTATCTCTCGGACCTAGAACTAACTAGAAATGGAACTTGCAAGAAAGAGGTTATAGTTGCAAGCTTTTGTTTCAAAACCGTCTTGTCAACAATGATGAAAACTCTCTTCAATCATGTTCGACATCATCTACTAAAAGTGCAGAAGCTTAGGAGCTACATATATACATAACCATCATTTCATTTCACCGCTACTTCAAAATATCCTGAAGCACTTCTGTATGTGTATCCAGTCTCTCCCTAAACACTTGCATGTTTGGTCATATGCATTCTTCAGCTATCTAAGGCAAATCCACTTATCAGTTTAGCTCCTAAAGCTAGATTAAAACAGCCAAAAGAAAAATACTACTCTATTAAGCTAAGCTGCAACAGTCTTAGACACTGCTGCGTAAAATTAGCTCCATTTGCTAAGTCTTCACTCGAAAATTTCATCCCAATAGCTGAACCAACCAATCCTTACAGAGGGGTGCAATTTCAGGAAAAAGACTCAAGGCAATGAAATGAGAGCTCCAATATGAATTATACTTCAAATAAAAGTCATCAATGCATTTGTTCCATCCTTTAGTTACCTGCCTTTTGTCTCTTTTCCATTTCTCCATCCCTAGTTACATATCTTCACTCATCAACATCTATAGTTGCAGAATCAATGACCATAAGCACTATTACTGCTTCTTCAATAAAATAACAGAGTCTAGCAGAAATATCTCAAGCAAGGACATATAAACAAAAAGGAACCTGCTTGGAAGCTCATAGTCAAGCTAGACATAGCATCCATCAATATGACCTAGCAGTCCATTAAGTGGGTGAAAATCACGGGCAACCTGGGGTTCAAATTCCGGCAGAGACAAAAAAAATACTAATGATTTCTTCCCATCAGCCTAAACCTTGATGAACAGAGTTGTCTTACCTGCACTAGTGGGACATAGCAGAAACTCGGTGTAATAATCATGGGGTTCACAAGTTGGCTCTGCATCACCATTATTAAAAATAGGAGAGAAAATGGTCAAATTTTGCCCAGTACTTGAGCAACTTTTCCCTCCGCTAAACACTGGTTCTAATCTTACCTCATTATTGGGAAAAAATCTCGTTTTGTTTTGAACTTCTAATGAAGATCCAACCTGAAGTATAATGTAGGGTAGTTTCTTTTATGATCCATAAACCGTCAAGACTCAGGAGCCAACTCTTTAGGCCAAGTGCAGCCTTCCAAAGTCAGGGGAAGATGGTTCATCCCCCCTACTCTACTCCACTTAAAAACTGAACTTATTTCGCATGGCACACCTTTGAACTTATTTCGCTTGACACATGGAGTTCAGTCATTCCATGTCGGAGCTACGCTAATTGTAAGGGTAAGTACAAGCCGATATTCTAATGGCGAGGGTATTAAAGTAGAACAAAGGGTAACATTAACCAATTTCGGATGGTGTAGGAGCAATTTTGGACCTTTACTCTTAAAAGGGGAGATAGAGCATAGAACTAAAGGGGTTAAAACAAAAGAAAGCACTTCCAAATTAGTATTCCTCGTGAGGAGATAGAAATAGAGAGAAGCAGCACAAAACTTCAAACTATCACTAAGCATAGCTTATGAATTCAAAGTTTTCACTTCACTCATTTGTAAAGCCTAAACCTACACAGTTTGATCTTTTGTCCTCAATTGTTTTTCTTTGCTATAATCTAGAATTATGCATTAATCTGTCAGTGCGGTTTGGTGAAGAGAAAAAGCAAAGACTGATTCAATTTCAGTCAGATGCATGTTCCAAGGTAAAGTCACCAGATAAATCCTACCAGCCTATTACTCACTTAGATAGGTTAAGAAGATTTGAACTTTGATCAACCTTTGCAGGATATTTGGTCAGTTGACCTGTACTTCATTCGTTTTCCTCTAACAAGACAAGGGAAGCTACTCTGCATACAATGCCGGTACATTCTCTCATTTTGATCTAAATTTCCTATAATTATTTCAAGGAAAACAGAACTATTTGCATTCTTAGAGCTGCTCAAGTGAGCGGCATGCTGCAAACTTAATAATTCTACATTTGGTATCAGGATATGATGCAGTCCTTTCTACAAAAGGCCAAATAAGCAAATAACAACAGAGAATAAACTAAAATGTAGCAATTGTATTAGCCCCAACAAATTTTAGGAAGGCTAAACGATTGGAAGGGAATAATGCAAAGTTAGTAGGAGTTTAGTAAATTGTACCTAATGGAAAAGACCAAAGCAAACATCTACTAGTGAATGATTCTCAACTATGATAATGCACGCTGAGCACCATATCATGTAAATCTTTACAGTTGATTAATAAATATGTCATTGGAAAAAGTAAAACTCGTATAACCAAGTAAACCTGACTTCCATCCTTTGGATCAGTTATTCATCATAAAAGATAAACTCTTGTCCCTTTGCTCTTTGAGTTTTTTCATTGCTTCAAGTTCCTCCCTTTTGGTGGCTAATCTCATTCTAGGAGTATTCAAAGTGTCACAAATAACTTCAGGATCCAGAAACCAAAATTTTCACCCTCATCTTTTACCATTCGAAAAAATCACATGCATCTATTACTACATGGAAAAAAATATTCATGCACTTGAGATTTTATTTTATTTTTTTACCGTGGTTTCCGGGCGTCGCTTTGCGAACCCGACTAGCTGTACCCACCGGGTCCCGCTGTTTCAAGGCGGGTCCACCACGGTTAGTTCCACGGGGCCCTGGAGACGCGGCCGGTTTGTAATGCCTCCAGTGGCCCTGCTGGGGCTCGAACCGGCGACCTGAAGGACTTTGTCCCAGGCCTTTACCAGCTGTAAGAGAATGTAGCAAATACAAGACACTTTGAAACAATAAATTGGAACAAGTATAGCCAACATCCAACACTCTTTTGTATACCAAGTAAATAGATAAAATTATCCTTTCTGATAGCTTTAAGCTTTTAGATGAAAGATCACCCAACAGGGAGATCTTGGGTTCAAGTTCACAGGTATATGTACATATAATCAAAGGTTTCAACTGAAAGCAATATCTTTGAACCCATAGTCTCAACGATTTTGAAAAAAATGTAATAGGTTCAATAGTAAGAACCTAAAGGTTGAATCCATTAACTCTAATCTTGTATTTTTCTATGTTCGAGTTGCATTGCCACCACTCATCTAACATATATTTTCACGTGTTTAACCGAAGAAAATATCAGGCTCTAACGTAAGGAGACGTGTTGTGAACCTGGATAATAAAGAAAAAATATCACTTCACCTGACATGAGACAGCCACACAATCCAACACACTCCTCATTTCTTCTTTTTTCTCAGATAAATGAGAGATTTCCCTACTAGCCATTTTCATGGTTCAAGGAAAGAAAAGAAACTCATAAAATGTGAAGTGAGCAGAAACCAATTTAAAATAACTCAAAGTTTCACCAAGAGTCTGGCCTAGTGTATCCTATGAGGTCCCAGTTTTACATCCCGGATGCAAAAACACTAAGGGGTCGTTTGGTAGGATGTATTAGAGAATCTAATAGGATTATCAACATATGTATAACTAAGGCATGGATAAGCATGATTAAAGACATAACTATCCTTAATACACCAAACCAAACCGTGAATAAGAAATAATCTCAAGCATAACTAATCTCATCATTCAGCATTACTAATACACCCTATACAACACCAAACGAGGGGCCGTTTGTGTATTAGAGAATCAGAATCTAATACATGTATTAGTCATGGTATTATTCAATCTTTTGTTTGGTAGGATTTTTAGCCATGAACAAACCATGGTATTAGTAATACAATGGATAAAGACAAAACTACCCTTAATAACACCAAACCAAACATATCAATTCAGCATAACAAATCACAGCATTAGTAATCTCAACATTATCACTACACTACTATTCTTATACACTCTACCAAACGACTCCTTAATTGATTTCTTCAATCCATTCAAGCCTCAAGGCAAAACCACTAAGTGATATCTTCCATCTATCCAAACCTTGGTGGCAGAGTTACCTGATAACTCTGTTATTTGATACGTAGCTTCACCGAACACCACGATTATCGAAAAAAATCACTCAAAGCTGACCCAAAATTTCCTCTAAAAGACGATAAACACAACCAACAACAAACACAACAAAAATGCAGCATCAAACATTAAACATGAAGCAAAAAAACACAAATCAAGAATCAAAATTTAGTTACCAGAAATCCTTTTGGAGAAGTCGACCCACCAATCTGAAGGACAAACATGAGATAACGAAGAAAGTAAAGGGGTATATTGGTCAACATCTTTCTCCACCTTCTTCTTCCTCTTTAACCCCCTTATAGGTCCCATTGAAAAAACTCAAAAAACCCAGTTGATTCACAACCAAAACACAAAAAAAATCTCTCTACAGAACTGTAAACTCCCAAGAAAAGATTTTGACAAAATGGGTATGCTTAACTGAAGGAATATTAAGAGATTGTGCTGTTTTTAGTAAGTTATAATCAAGAAAAAAAATGAAGAACAAGGTGACTGAGAGCAGAGTGCAGAAGAGAAAGAGGAGGAAGGGACTAAAATGGGACAATTGTGTAAAAAAAAAATTGTTTATGGTTTTAAAGAAGCATGCAGTAATATATAGTTTGTTTTATTATAAGTGGTTTATTTATTTAGATATAATCTGAGAAAATATTGTGATATCAGACTCGAAAATACTATAATTAGGAGTTACATTCGAGGCAGGGGGGTCAGGATTGAGTGTCATGTCTCGAGTTGAGATTATAGAGAGTTTTGAAAAATGTTTTTTCTTACTTGAAAATACTATATTAGGAGTTACTTTCGAGGTCGAGGTTGGGGTCGGGATCGAGTGTCATGTCTCGAGTTGTGGTTTATCGAGAATTTTGAAAAATGTTTTTTTTTTAAATTTTATATAGGAAAATAAGATCATTCAAATAAATATTTAAATCAATCAAACATAAAAAAATTGAAAAAATAAAAAGTGAAAAGACACTAATGAAGTGATTTAACTTTTATTTACTTCTTTTTTCATGTTCAGTACAATACTCGTGTTAAAGTTTCGATTATCTAAATTTATAACGTATAAAACTCATTAGAGAGAAGTATTTCCTATTATGATTTGTTGCACCTATGATCTGAACTTGATACATTCTATTAAATGTGAAGATTAACTTCTATATATCGACAAATATCATAAATCGTGTTGAAATGATGTTGTTAAAAAGTCAACAATGATATATTTGTATTTATACTAAAAAGAGTTGTGTAATCCGCTACAATCAATTCAGTTATATTAATTTAGTGTACGTGTGTGTCACGTTAATATAAAGTATTTCATACAATAAGAATGAAGTATATAATACTGCAACAGAAGTTACAATGTATGTAATGTTATATTCATTTAAACAACAAAAATATGTTTTTTTATAATTTTAGTATATGCGTGTTGCACGTATATGTTACCTCAATTTAATTAACACAAAATATACGTGTTCAATTCTCATATAAAAGAGTTATACTAATATGAGTATAACTTTAACTACTTGAAAGATTTAATAGTTCTTTAGAATTTCTATTTAAATAATTCATTATATTTTCAGAGTAAGACGTTATTTTTCTATTTGGACCAATGATAAAAATCTACTTGGAAGATAACGTCATTCATAATGTTTCCTAAATCAATTTTTTTATGTATTTATTATACAAAATCATAATGAAATTCTTCTTTGAAGATAGCATCTTTCATAACATGTCTTAAATTGATTTTTTTTGTGTTTATTATACAACCAGAATGGAAAATTACTTTGAAGATAATGTATTTCATAATGTGATTTCAATTGATTTTTCCTGTGTCTATTATACAATCAAAGACAAATTACTTATTAGATAATTAAATGTAATTTTTTAATAAATATTAATGCGTAATCTCAAAGATAATAACTAGTCTGTTATCGCAAGTTAAAATTTTATCCAGAATACTTGCACACTAATCGATGTACTAGAAGAAGAAAAAGAAAACTAGTGGAGACAAAAATGTAAATTAATTTTGTTTCATCTTTTCAATCTTGATAAATAGAGTTACTTGGTGTATTATAGGCGGAGTCATAATTTTAAATTTATGAATTCTAATTTTAGAACGACGACTTCATATGTTAATAGTTGAGTTCTAATTTTAATATTTTGTACATATTAATGGAATCCTTAACACACACAAAAAAAAAAAAAAAAAAAAAAAAAAATATCCCAATTGATTCAGAACCCAATAAACTTTTATGTACTTTTTTTTTTCATGTTCTGTTAAATATTCATATCATAGGTCTAACTATATAGATTCATAACGTATAAGACTCATAGAAAGAAGTATTTCTTAACACGCTTTGTTCCAGGTATGGTTTCAATATATTACCTCCTATTTGATGTGCCAGATAACTTCTACGTATCGAAAAATATTGTAAATCGTGTTAAAATGAGATTGCTTTAAAGTCAAATGCAAGGTAAGTTTGTATTAAAAGAAGTGTTGTGTAATACTAGAGCTGTCAATATGGGCTAGCCCACTCCATCCGGGCTAACCCATACAGGCTTTGACATTTTACGGGCCAGGCCAGGCTAGCCCATTTTTGGTGTGGGCCTGAAAACGGTCGGCCCAACCCACAAGTACGTGGGCTACAGGCTTGCCGGGCCAGCCCACTTTTTAAAAAGTTATATATTTTTTTTATAATTATTAAATTAAATTATAAATTATAATTTAAAAATATTATCATAAATATCGACAAAACAATATTACATAGTGTTAATGTTACTACTTGTTAATCAAATCCACAAATAAAATTATCTTTATAATATTTATTAAGTTTTTTTCAAGTAAAAGTATAAATATCTAAATATAAATATTAACCTAACTGTTTCGCAATGATCACAATAAAACACAAAAAATATGACAATATTCCAATCATAAAAATGTAAAAAATAAACTCCTTAAAAAATCATGAAACTTATGGCGTATCTAACACTTCATGAAACCTATGGCGTATTTAACAACTTCATGATCATCTTCATCAAGCATATCTGAATCAACTTGTGGGAAGGTTGTCTTAACATCTTCATTTTCATATGCAATTTATATGAGGTTTCAATTAGTTAAATATTAAAAATAACTAAATTGAGAATTATAATATTTAAATGTACACAAAAATATATTACCAGTTTGAGAAAAACCATGTAACCAGTTTCGAGTAGCAACAAGTGTTTGGACATTTTCATGGTGGATGCAACTACTATACTTAGTGATTTCCTAAAAAACTTTAAATAGATTTTGAGTTTGGATCTCTTTAATTTTAAATTTTAATATTATATTATACTTTTTAATTAATTTGTATTAGCCCACGGGCCGGCCCTACCTATATTTCTCAGGCCCCACAAATCAGCAGGCTTATTCAGACCGGGCTAAAAAGCTTTTTTTTTTAAATGGGCTCCAAATTTTTTAGCCCAGCCCTATTAAATCCCGGGTTAGGCCAGGCCGGCCCAACAGGCCTAGCCCATATTGACGGCTCTATGTAATACGCTACAATCAATTCAATTATACTAAAGTGTACGTGTATACGTGTGTGTCACGTCAATATAAAATATTGCATACAATAAAAATGAATATATAATACTGCCAATATATGTAATATTATATTCATTTAAATAGAAAAAAATATGTGTTCTTATAATTTTAGTATAAGTGTCACTTTTAATATATCAAGAAAAATAAAAATTAAAACTATTTTATCCTCAACATTAATTACTTATTTCCCCCGGAAAAAAAAACCTCGAAAATATGTAGACCAAGTGGATCCCCAAGTGTTTTTTTTCCATAATTTTTTCAGTCTCCTTTAAATTTCTATTTATTGTAATCAATAATCACATTTGTGATTGCATGATATGTAGGGACATGAAATAATTGTTGCTATTTATTTACCAGTAATTCAAAATTTTAATATATACTTTTTGGACTAAGACACAATATTCTCTGAAAATATTTTACTAACATATAGTAATTCTTTAAAGAATACACATGTATTTTTTTTATTATGAAAATGCACATCTATTCCTGAAAAAATATGTTAGTTATATATATAACAAATCATTTAAATTTGTTTTAGTTAAGTATTTTTTTCTTAAAATACTCAGAAAGATTTAAGAGTTTATTTTTAAGTGATTCATTGTATTTTTAGAGTAAGACGTCATTTTTTTATTTGGACCAATGGTAAAAATCTACTTGGAAGATAGCGTTATTTATAACGTGTCTTAAATCAATATTTTCTGGATTGTTATACAAAATCATAATGAAATTCTATTTTGAAGATAAAACCTTTCATAAATTGATTTGTTTTGTGTTGATTATATAATCAGAATAAAAAACTACTCTGAAGATAACACCTTTCATAACATGTCTTAAATTGATTTTTCCTACGTCTAATATACAATCAAAATCAAATTACTAATTAGATAATTAAATGCAATTTTTTTAAATGGATAATTTGGGCTATAATAGCTTGTTATGATAAAAGTGTCCAAAATATGTTATTTAATAAGAATGAAAAAAAATAAAAAAAATTCACGAAGGGTATCCAAAAATTGCACAACAAAAACTCTTTTTAAAAAATGGAAAAAACAATTGCTACTAGTGAGATTCAAACATGCAAGTGCTGCCTCATTTGAAATGTCTGAAACCACTAGGCCAGGGGCGGATATACGTGGACAGGTGGGGGTGCCACGGCACCCAGTGATCTCGGAAAAAACGTCGTTTATATATGTATAAATTCATAATAATTCAATATGTATTACTTTTGCCACCTAGTGACTGAAATGCGGAACAGCTCAATTGGCGAAGGAGTTGGTCTACCACACAGCCAACGCCGGTTCGAACCTCACTGCCAACACTTATTTTTTTGCTTGCTCCTTTACTTCTTTACTTTTCTTTTTTGTCTTTTTCATTAGTATGTAAAGGGCTTAAATTATTTTTTTCCTCCATTCATTCTTATTTAGTTACTATTCTTTATTAATTCAAATTGACTCATTTTCATGATTAATTTTTAGTTCTTCTTTTCTTTTTCATTAGTATGTAAAGGGCTTAATTTTATTTTTCTCCATTCATTCTTATTTATTTACTATTCTTTATTTATTCAAATTAACTCTTTTTCATGATTAATTTTTTTTTTTACTTTCTCTTGCACTAATTATTAATCTCTTGATATGGGTGTTACATGTTTATTTTTATCAATTAATGAGTACTGAATTATGAACGTCAAATAAATATTATTAAGAATATATTTAAATAGTAGTTTTTAAAAATATGTTTTAAAAATGATGAATATTATTATTAGAGCTTTTTTTAATTTTTTTTTAAAGGTTCTTTCACATCTTCACCGACTTTCTTGCTAAGTAAGATGACTAGGCAGAAACTACAATTTTTATTCTTCCCCTACTAAATATCTCCAATAACACATAAAGTCAATGTAATATGAATATATTATGTTAATACTATTAGATGGTTTATACAAGCTCAAATTTTAATGTGAAAAATCTTTTTTTTCTCAAAGTTTCAGCGAATAAGACATCTAATTCCAAAAAGGGAAAAAAATTGAATTGTTTAGTTATCTCTAATCTCAAAATATCTAAAAGAAAATATTACTAACATGCATATTTGATCGATTTGTTTATAAAAATAAAAAATATCAGTAACCTGAATTGTAACCCAAATTAAAGTAACCGATCATTTTATCTTACTTGAACGTTGTGGCACCCACGACCTCCAAATCCTAGATCCGCCCCTGCACTAGGCTATAATAGCTTGTTATGTTAAGGGTGTCCAAAATATGTTATTTAATCACATTGTGTTTCATTTTACTTGTATATATGATTTTTTTTTCCGACAAAGGGTGTTCAGTTAGACACCCCGAGAAACAAGTAGCTCCGTCACTGTCAGTACCTTGTAAAATTAGATGAATTGCACACAAACTGACCCAAACATCATCGAAAGGAAATGAAAGAAGAAGAAAAATACACAACTTGAAGAATCTTGAGAAGACATCAAATGACAATTACAACATGAGCATTACTACAATTGATTCATAATGTAAGCTGTGTAAAGCCATACATAAAAATGCATCAAGGGATTTTCATCCTGAGATTGATAATATAAGGTATAAATCTACTTATAGTATGAAAAAAAAAATACTATAACCACAATTTCAATTTTTTTTTTCTTCACAAACACAAGCTTCTTCTTTACCTTCCTTTTGGATTCATTATCTGAGAGAACACTCCAGATGAAGTTGTTACATCTGATTCACCATGGCTAACAATGTCGATTTCATCAGCCTCTCCCGACTCAACACGGGGAATCGAGTAAGGTATATCTGGTATGGCATTGCTATTTTCATCTTCTAAAGATTGTCTGGCAGCAGCTTGCAAGTTAAGAACGTATTCAAGATTCCAAAGAACGTCCCCCATCGATGGTCTTTCAACACCATACTCAGCCAAACACTTCTCCGCGGTTTCACCATATTTCCTGAGTGAATCAATGCTCACTTTTCCTGCAAGATAAGGATCGATTATGTGCTCCAATTGTCCCTTCTTTTGCCAATGCATTGCCCACTCGGCTATGTTTACTTGTTCTCGTGGGAGTGAAGGATTGATTGCTGACCGTGCACATAGGACTTCCATGAGTACTACTCCAAATGAATAGACATCAGACTTCTCTGTCAGTTGCTGTCTACGATAATACTCTGGATCGAGGTAACCAAAACTTCCCTTCACGGCTGTGCTTACATGAGTTTGATCCAACGCGGGGCCAAATTTTGATAAACCAAAATCAGCCACTTTTGCTGTGAGATTCTCATCCAATAAAATGTTGGTAGTCTTGACATCACGGTGGATGATGCACTCAGCTGCACCAGTGTGAAGATAATGCAATCCTTTCGCAGCTCCAATGCAAATTTCTAGTCTTTGTTTCCAAGAAAGATGAGGAAAATCTGATCCGTATAAGTGCTTTCTGAGCGGTCCGCCTGCCATGAATTCATATACAAGGATCATCTCATTTAGCTCCTCACAGTAGCCAATTAAAGAAACCAGGTGTCTGTGGCGTAGCTTAGATAACATCTCGATTTCTGTCCTGAATTCGACAAGTCCTTGTTGAGACTTGCTATTTCCCCTCTTTACAGCAACCATTACCCCATTTTCTAGCACTCCTTTATAAACTTTGCCAAAGCCACCAACACCAATGACCAAGCTCTCATCAAAGTCCTTCGTAGCTTCACGAATCTCAGAGAATGCGAAGATACGCCCCAACGTCCGTGAAGGTGTTGTTGAAGCAAAACTACCTGCTGAGATTTTAGTTTCTGAAATTCCAATATGATTTGGAAAAGATAACCATGATAAAGATTTTTGTTTCACCATCTTTGGCTTATGGAAACAAACGAAACAGAGAAAACAGGACGCTGCAATGAGCAATAAACCTGCTAAACTTCCTAAGCTAGCAAAAACTATTAGCATTACATGTCTCTTAGTATTTGATCTTTCGGAATCGCTGGAATATCCGACAAATTTTCCATCGAGGCTGCTACTGGGATTGCTCATTTTCATTATCTCCAAACCATTTAGAATAGCATTGGCTGGAGTAATCCTCAAATTAGAAGGACCAACTTGAACGAAAAGTTTATTCGAGCCCGTTGACATATTCACTACAAAATCCACAAAGTAAGCAGCTGACAAAGCCATTGTCTTTGTTGAGATATCCAATGATTCCACAGCAGTTTGGTTATTGATGTACACATCGAAGATCAAATTGTTAAGAGAGAGACTAACAAAATCACAGAAATGCATCCTAACGAAGTAAATAAATCCATCTTCGACTGGAAACGTCCATGTAATGTTGAACTTTTGATCTATTACTTTGGCATCTGCCATTTCTTGTGCAGTGGCATACACCCAATTCGGTGCAATATCAACCGACTCACCCGCTGGATACTTGACTGATTTTGGATCTGTACTGACCTTCTGAGCACTAGCAGGATTAACAAGAAATGTATGATCTGAATTCCACATCCTCCACAAAGTGTCATTTCTTGGAGTCAATTTTGGACCTCCCATATTCACTCTATAAGCTGTCTCTAAAGCAACCGAGGACGGAACAACAAAACCTGGCCCCCTCGGAATTGGGACAGCACTGAAATCAAACTGACCCTCAGGCATAGAGACCACCTCTATCCCATTGATAAATGCAACTGAGCCACTAACTGGAGATAATGTAAGTACTAAATCACCCGAACTACTCGATCCACCTATTTCGATTACGTATTCCTTCAACAAAGGTTCCTTTTTCCCCAATCTTGAAAAGGAAAACTCATGAAGCAATGTAATCCCATTAGCCACAACAGAAAAAACAGCTGATTTTAGGTTGTGCTCATTATTCTTAACAGGATAAAAATGCAACCTTAACCAATGTCTACCAATCTGCTTTGTACTAATAGAATACACTGAACTTTTAGTAAACAATCTAGCAGAATTATGAAGTTCAGACAACAAACCATTTTCATTATTTGACACTGTTATAAGTGAATTTGTAGACAACACCACATCAGAATCCCCAAAATCAGATTCAAAAACCCTTCCATCTTCAACTTGTATAGATTTATTTCCACCACAGCTAATCAAGAAACAGTCTATTGGGGTAAAAGAAGCAAAACCCAATGACGAAAAACTGAGAAAACACACAATGCTAGCAGAAAACAACAACAACCCTTTTAAAGAAACCATTTTTATTCAAATATACAACTCAGAAACAGTCAATTGGGACAAAAGAAACAAAATCCAATGACCAAAAACTGAGAAATCACACAAAGCTAGCAGAAAACAAGAACAACCCTTTTCCAAGAACACATTTTTACTCAAAAATACAGCTCAGAAAACAAGACAAAAGAAACAAAATCCAATGACAAAAAACTGAGAAATCACACACAATGCTAGCAGAAAACAAGAACAACCCTTTATCAAGAACACATTTTTACTCAAAAATACAACATTACAAGACTGAAAACAAAAACCCCATATGGAAAAAACTCATTTTCTTGTCAAATTGAGCTGAAACAAAGCCAAAAAAGGCCATACCTGATGTGTACAAGATGAACAAAAAAGTAAAATTTGGGAAAAAGGTGAATGAGAAGTGTGATTTTGAAGATGGGGTTTTTGTGTTTTTCAAGATTTTGGAACTTTTAGGTCTGTTGAGGTGAGTGAGTGTGTAGTAATGAATTTTTTTTGGAAACAAGTTGTGTTGTGACATTAAAGTTGGAAGCTTAGGGAATTGAAATAGCTAGCTAACTAACACAACCACACAGCCAGTATACAACTGTCACTCTTGCAATATTTTAATAACTGTCTGCCATACCATCTCTAGATTCATGAGTTGACCAACTTTTTTTCTAATATTATAATGCTACAAATCCAAAAAAAAAAAAAAATTGTTTTTTTTTTCATTTTTGGGTGAAAATGAATTTTCATTAATGATAATTTGGACACCTTATATTTTTGTTGATGTTGATTGAGATATTTATTTCATCATAAAAAACTGTTCGATGCATGAAATATTCCGATATTCATAGAGGATTTGAGAAAGAGTCAAACAATCCTACTTGAAGGGATATAAGAATCATGGATTCGAGATGAATGATTTATTGATTACAGGTACTTACATTATTATTTTTTAAAGATCCTCGTTAATCTAGTAGATTAGAATATAAACTTTGATGGTTATTTGGTGATTATTTTGCTTTTTCATAAAAATAATCTTTTATAATATTTGAAATAGCATAGTTAGATATATTTTCATTTTATTTATTTCTCACTCGGTGTCCGGTACCACGTTAGAGCCCGATTAAATTTGGATTTGTGTTGGAACATCCTAGAGGTAAAACACTTTCTAACAAATGTGATTTTGTATCCAGGGAGACTCGAATCTGAAACTTCTGATTAAGAGTGAAGGAGCACTTGTCACTCCACCACAATCGTGTTGGTGACGTAGTTAGATAAATTATTCTATTTGTTTATTCATTCAAATAAAAAATTGAAGAAAATAAAATGAGGATGAGGAAATTCCCTTTAAATCATCCTATGTTATGTGGGGCTCATACAGGAGATCACGTGCAAATCACATGCCTAAGTTTTAATCACTTATTAAGTAATCTAATCACGTGATCCATCCTGTTAAGATCTAGTTTAGCTCTTTTGATGAATAATTAATAATATACATTTTCTAACTCAAATTAATCAAATCTTTGTTTGTGTCAGTAACACTCTAATGCTTCCCAGATTACCCAATTTTTGAATTTTTTTTTTTTTATCTTTCTATTATCTCCATTTCAATTTATTTGTCATATTTTACTTCGTGACAATTCAGAATAGAACAAATGAATTGAAGTTACTCTACTCAACTTTTCTTTTACTTGTTACTTTCATTTTTTTAAAACTTTCAAGTACGGTTATTGGTAATTATTTATTATTTATTATTTTTTTCTCAACGGCATCTTAAGTCAAAATTAATTAAAGTACTAGAAAGCATAATATATAGAAAGACATGACCTTCTAATATTGCTTTAACTGACAATTATTATCTTAACTTTGAAATTATATGATTAGATATCTTAACTTTATATAAATAGATCCCGTAAACACACTTTTTCAAATGTGCATTATCAAAATTAGAGTGTTTACAAAGTCAATTTAAACCAAGTTAAAATGTCTAAAAGTAAATTAAAATGGCAAGTAGCACTGCAACCCTGAGTGTGCACACATCTCGATACCTTAACTTGGTCTCAACTGACAACTAAACTCTCTAACCCGTCCCCATTGTATGAATGCTATAAAATACATATACATGTATTAACCAAAACAGAACATGTAAGCCAAAAAGTGACAATGTTGTTCTCAAGAGTACAAACATATTGACCTCTCTAATTAATAGTCACAACTATAAGAAGTTAAGAAAACAAACAATTGTAGGCTAGTTTAAGTACATTGTTCAATTTTCCTTCAATGCATCTTCAATCCTCTGTTAAGATGTCCCACATCGGTAGAAGAATGGGAATTTTGTCTCCTTATATGGACTTGGATAAACCTCCCCTCACGAGCTAGCTTTTGGGGTTGAGTTAGGCCCAGATGCTATATCCTTACAACTTCCAACCTCCATTTAACAGAAAATAAAAACTACGAAAACAACAGCACAACACAAAGATCAATCAACTATTTTATCTTCTTCACTTGACCCCATGAAAGTAAGTATGTTTCTGAATTGTCCTTGACCCTTTTTTGTTGATAGTACAATATTCTTACATTATCTTCTTCACTTAGCGATGTGGGACTAAGTAATCCTTCTTAGACAGGCTGTCCAAGAAAAGAACTTTTTGCTTATTTTACAGCTTAGTGCTAGCCTGTTTAATGATTATTTAGGAGTCTGTCAGTGCTAGTAGTGCCGAGTCAGAATATTCATTAAGGAAAGTCAGAATAACTATGAACTGTTAGCATGATAGACAACTAAATCATTGTATATATTAATGTAATTATATAGTGATATAAATTAGCATGATCATATACATTTGTTGTAGAATCATATGAATAAATATTGTGATAGAATAGCTGATTTGGAGGGATAGCAAGGCAGATTTAAAGGGATTCAATGGCAGATTTGTATAGATAGAATAGCTGATCTTTAGGGATAGGAATGGCAGATCTTTAGGGATGTGTAATCTTTATTTTCTCTATATAATGGAAAGACTCTCTCACTTTGAGAGGCATTCAGCTGAAAATTGACATGGTATTAGAGCCTTCTCTTGGCTGTCTTGTTTCATAGAGTCATCTGTGGTTCCTTTTAATTATTTTTTTGAAAATCTTGGTTTTTGGCTACCTCCTGGGAATTTTGTTCTTGGTCATTGTAGTTGCTTTCTTGAGTCTTTGTAGTTTTATAGCTATTCAAAAGCATGAATTCACATCACTTTGAATCCTTCAGTGTTCGTTTCACTGGAAAAAATTATTCTTCTTGGGAGTTTCAATTTCAGTTGTTTGTCACCGACAAAGAACTATGGGGCCATATAGATGGAAGCGATCTTGCCCCTACTGATGCAACAAAGCTAGGTGAATGGAAGATTAAAGATGCTCGGGTGATGACATTGATTCTAGGGTCAATTGACCCTCTTATTGTTCTTAATCTCAGGCCGTACAAGACAGCTAAGGCCATGTGGGATTACTTACAAAAGGTTTACAACCAAGATAATAGCGCAAGACGCTTTCAATTGGAGTATGAAATTGCTAATTACTCTCAAGGAGGTCTTTCTGTTCAGGATTATTTTTCTGGATTTCAAAACTTATGGGTTGAATTTACAGATATTGTCTATGCCAAAATACCTATTGAATCCCTATCAGTGATTCAGGCAGTTCATGAGCAAAGCAAGCGAGACCAATTTTTTATGAAATTACGCTCCGACTTTGAGAATGTTCGCTCTAACTTGATGAATCGTGACCCGTCTCCCTCTTTGGATGTTTGCTTTAGGGAATTACTTCGTGAAGAGCAACGTCTTGTCACACAAAATGCTTTTAAGAAAGAAAATGATGTCACTGTTGCATTTGCTGCTCAAGGTAAAGGAAAGGGCATGGATATGAGTAGAACTCAATGCTACAGTTGCAAGGAATATGGTCATATTGCTAGCAATTGTAGCAAGAAAGTCTGTAATTATTGTAAACAACAAGACACATTATCAAAGAGTGTCCCACGCGCCCTCAAAATCGTAGGATCAATGCTTTTCAAGCTAGGATAAATGGTTCCACTGATGATTACTCATCTTCAGGACAAGTTCTTACTCATGAAATGGTACAACAAATGATCGTGTCAGCCTTTTCAACATTGGGATTACAAGGTAATGATGCTACATCTAATTTTTGGATTGTTGATTCAGGCGCTTCCAATCATATGACCAACTCAACGAGCATCCTAAAAAATATTCGTAAGTATCAAGGTCCATCACAAATACAGATTGCTAATGGTAGTAATTTACCCATTACCAAGGTTGGGGACATTACTCCAATTTTCAAGAATGTTTTTGTTTCACCAAAACTCTCAACTAGTCTTATTTCAGTTGGACAATTGGTAGATAACAATTGTGATGTGAATTTTTCTCGTAATGGTTGTCTTGTGCAGGATCAGGTGTCGGGGACGATAATCGCGAAGGGGCCTATAGTTGGACGATTGTTTCCTATACACTTTTCCATTCCTCTTGTTCTATCTTTTGCTTGTACTTCTACTGCTAGTAAAACTGAGGTTTGACATAAGCGTTTAGGACATCCAAATTCTGTTGTGTTGTCTCATTTATCAAATTCTGGTTTATTGGGAAATAAAAATAATTTTTCAGTTGCTTCCATTGATTGTTCTACTTGTAAATTAGGCAAAAGTAAAACTCTTCCGTTTCCTAATTTTGGTAGTCGTGCTACAAAGTGTTTTGATGTCATTCATAGTGATGTTTGGGGCATTTCACCAATTATTTCTCATGCTCATTTCAAATACTTTGTGACATTCATAGATGATTATAGTCGGTTTACATGGGTGTATTTTCTTCGATCCAAACCTGAGGTATTTTCCATGTTCAAGACATTTTTGGCTTACATTAAGACTCAATTTTCTACATGCATCAAATTATTAAGATCTGATTCTGGTGGAGAATTATGTCTTATGAATTCAAAAAATTCTTGCTTGACAAAGGGATTGTCTCACAACACTCTTGCCCATATACACCACAACAAAATGGAGTTGTTGAACGAAAAAATCGGCATCTTTTAAATGTCACTCGTACTTTATTGATTGAGTCATCTGTACCATCTAAATATTGGGTGGAAGCTTTGTCTACTGCTGTCTATTTAATTAATAGATTGCCATCTAAAGTGCTAAATCTTGAGTCTCCATATTTTCGTCTTTATCACCAAAATCCTAACTATAGTGATTTTCATACATTTGGTTGTGTTTGTTTTGTGCATTTGCCTCCTTCGCAACGCAATAAACTTTCTGTACAATCTACTAAATGTGCTTTTATGGGTTATAGTACTTCACAAAAAGGTTTTATTTGTTATGATCCATGTTCTCACAAATTTCGTATTTCTAGAAATGTTGTTTTCTTTGAGAATCAGTATTTCTTTCCTACGATTGTAGATTCATCTTCTGTTTCTCCTCTTTTTCCTACTTTTGAGGATTTATCATCATCTTTTAAGAGGTTCAAACCTGGATTTGTGTATGAACGACGTCGGCCAACTTTACCCTATCCCGACATTGATCCGCCGCCTGAAACTTCACCACAACTAGAATCTGAGAATTCTTCAAGATCTGGTCCTCTTGAGCCTACTTGGTGATCTACAAGAGTATCTCGTACTCCCAATTGGTATGGCTTTTTCTCTACTTTATCCAACATATTTGTTCCATCTTGTTACTCACAAACTTCCAAGCATGAATGTTGGCAGAAAGCAATGGAGGAAGAACTTTTGGCTCTTAAAGAAAATGACACATCGGGACATTGTTTCATGTCTTTCAAATGTCCGCCCTATTGGATGTAAGTGGGTTTATTCAATCAAACTTCATTCTGATGGAACTCTTGATCGGTACAAAGCTCGATTGGTTGTTCTTGGTAACAGACAAGAGTATGGGGTGGACTATGAGGAGACTTTTGCACCCGTAGCCAAAATGACTATGGTACGAACTATTATTGCCATTGCTGCTTCACAAAACTGGTCTCTTTATCAAATGGATGTCAAAAATGCTTTTCTCCATGGTGATCTTAAAGAAGATATTTATATGAAACCTCCACCTGGTTTGTTCTCATCGCCTACATCAGATATTGTATGCAAGTTGAAGCGGTCTTTGTATGGATTAAAACAAGCTCCAAGAGCTTGGTTTGATAAGTTTCGGTCTACTTTGCTACAATTTTCTTTTGAGCAGAGCAAATATGACTCATCTTTGTTTCTTCGGAAAACATCTACAGGTTGTGTTCTTCTTTTGGTGTATGTAGATGACATTATTATCACAGGAACTAATTCTTCACTAATCACTTGCCTCCAACAGCAGCTTAAAGATTCTTTTCATATGAAAGATCTTGGTACTCTTACTTATTTTTTGGGTTTGGAAGTTCATAATGTTGCTTCAGGTGTATTTCTAAACCAACACAAATATACTCAGGATCTGATTTCTTTGGCTGGTCTTCAAGTTTCCTCCTCCGTAGATACTCTACTGGAAATGAATGTCAAGTATCGTCGTGAGGAAGGCGATCTTCTTCCTGATCCAACTATATTTCGACAATTATTTGGGAGTCTAAATTACCTTACTATTACTCGGCCTGATATCTCTTTTGCAGTTCAATAAGTTAGTCAATTTATGCAAGCTCCCCGTCATCTCCACTTGGTGGTTGTTCGTCGCATCATTCGGTACCTTCTAGGAACATCTACTCGTGGATTGTTCTTTCCAAGTGGTTCTCCTATTCGTCTTAATGCTTTTAGTGATTTTGATTGGGCGGGATGTCCTGATACTCGTCGTTCAGTCTCTGGTTGGGGCATGTTTCTTGGAGAGTCATTGATATCTTGGAAGAGTAAAAAGCAAGATCGTGTGTCAAAATCTTCAACAGAGGCTGAATATCGATCCATGTCTTACTGCTTGCTCCGAGGTTGTATGGCTTCGTGGATTACTTGCTGAGATTGGATTTCCCCAATCTTATCCTAATCCTCTCCACGCTGACAATACAAGTGATATTCAGATTGCTACTAATCCAGTTTTTCATGAGAGGACCAAACACATCGAAGTGGATTGTCATTATATACGAGAAGCTGTAGATAAATGAGTCATTACTCTTCCACATGTGTCCAGTGATCTTCAAATAGCTGATGCGTTTACAAAATCCATGGCACGGCAACGCCATCAGTTTCTAGTAGGCAAATTGATGCTTCTTGATCCACCAGCATCAATTTTAGGGGGGATGTTAGCATGATAGACAACTAAATGATTGTATATATTAATGTAATTATATAGTGATATAAATTAGCATGATCATATACATTTGTTGTAGAATCATATGAATAAATATTGTGATAGAATAGCTGATTTGGAGGGATAGCAAGGCAGATTTAAAGGGATTCAATGGCAAATTTGTATAGATAGAATAGCTGATCTTTAGGGATAGGAATGGCGGATCTTTAGGGATGTGTAACCTTTATTTTCTCTATATAATGGAAAGACTCTCTCACTTTGAGAGGCATTCAGCTGAAAATTGACATGAACAAGTTTAGGATGGATGTAGTGTTAATGTTATGCGTTTCGAATCTATCTTTATATTGAAAAAACCACAAAAATAAATTTAGAACTCAATAAAAATCAAATGAGTTGTAGGAATCTTAAACTAGAACTCATAAAGTTCAAATCATGAATCCGCCCTCATAAACAACTATTAGAATTTGTTCTTGTTGTATGATATACCATTTAATATAAGAATAAATAAGTCTCAACCAATTTTATTTTTTTTGTCTTGTTGAAAAAAAATCTGTTATCACATTTAGTCCATCAAAACAATATTGAGATAGTTAATGGGCTAACTTCAGACATTGCACCTGATGACAACAATTTTATGTCTCTTAACAATTTTCAGCTCTAGGGGCTGCGCGAACGCAAGCCCCCACTATCACAAATTATAGTGTAGGCTCAACCACTTGGGCAGACTTTAGGCAGGCACCCCTCCAAAGTGCAATGGAGGTCATCAATCTAAGCCATAGGTCTACGATGTCACGATCCCTTCTCCGCCACCCACCAGTAAAAAGAGTGAATAGTCTGTCAAACTGCCATGAGACCATCTCAGGGCCGGGCAAACCAGGCTGAGAACAATCATCTACTGCACACCATGACCCCGAAAGGCCCTGAAGAACAATCATCACACTCGAGTCTCATGGCCACGATTCATCCACCAGACTTGGTTTCCTGTCTCCTTAGAAGTCAAGGATACAGTGGTACGAGCCTATAGAACAGATCCTGTTCAAGTAAGGTCGTGTTCTTCTACGTTGCTGCAACAACATATAAACATTTGGATGCCCAACTAGCTTACTGATGTGGGAAAAAATGAAAAAAAAAATGTATACAATTCCATCAATGACAAAAAAACTACCTAATTTAGTGTGATTTCAATTCTGAAAGAATGATTGATCTGTATTCTATACAGTTTAGGTGATAGCATTAGACAAAAACAATTGGAATTTGAATTGGGTAGGGGCCGCGCGAACGCAGGCCCCCACTGCAACAAATTATGACGTAGGCTCGACTACTTGAGCCGACCTTAGGCAGGCACCCCTCCAAAGTGCAATGGAGGTCACCAACCTAGGCCATGGGTCTTATTGATCGCCCATTGACCCCGTCCAGGTAAGTATGTTTCTTCGTTGTCCTTGGCCTTTTTTTATAGTATCTCCTCATTACTCTTCTGTTTTATTCACTCAGCGATGTGGGAGTAAATCATCATTTTTCAATTTTCATTTCAATTTAATGAACTTCTATCAGTTTTCACATTTGCTATGTATTAAATTTAACCTTTGTACAAACACTCATCCAGACTATGCATCTTAATTCCTTGTGATCTGTATTATAAGAAGAACGAATAACGAAATAATGAATGGCAAGGAGATGAATGATGACCAATTTGAGTTGTAGTTTACGAATGATGACCATTTTGAATTGTCATGGTTCAAGGTATAAGGAGAAGTTGCAGCCTGATACGACGTAAAATAGTGTAACTTGTTCCATGATGACTCAAACGTTTATTAGCTGCTGATTGAGTTGGGAAAATGTTATATGCTTATCTGCTTAGTTATTATCAGTGATCAGAGCGAAAAAATGAAGGGTAGTCGAGACTCTGAATGGCCATGGAGGCTATCAATCATGCGTTGGCCCCATGGTCGCGGTTTTAAGGTCGTGCAAATCAATGTTGCTACAATGTAATATGAGAAATAAAATGATTAGCTTTCCGATTTTGCATTAGGAATTGACATGTTTTTGTGTTGGATTTTAGGTCTGCTAATATTAATAAATGAAAAGAAAACTTAAGTTTTCTTACCATAGATTGTTTTTTGTTAAAAAGGAACTTGAGAAAAGAAATGTTTTGCACCCGATTCAGAAATTCAGAAAAACAAACCATTCCCTTCTCAAGTTCTTCTGTAACCAAAAAAAACAAGAAGTCTAGGCCATGGGACTTGTTGATCACAATTGACCTCGTTCAGCTAAGTATGTTTCTCCGTAATTGACCTTGGCCCTTTTAGCGTCCCCTTGCTACTCTTCTGTGTTATTCACTTGACGGTGTGGGATTATGATATTATTTGCCAAGGAAGCAGTGCTAGTCTGTAAAAAAGAGTAATTAACATCCTCAATAACCGAAATAAGCAATACGTGCTTAGTTTATACTACTGATTACTCTTGAAGAATCAAAAACGGTAGATCACATCATTAAATAAAAGTAACAAACTCGTGTAACGTTCAGAGACAGATTTAGAGTTTAAATTTTGATGGTTTCAACTTGGATTAAGTTGAACCCCTAGCAAGCATACTACATCCGCCTCTGACACATTAATCAAAACAACAGCATATACAAGAGAATACAATACATGGCTTAACTTGTTATAAAGATTCAATGTGAGTGAAACCAGCAAATAGAGTTAAGCACTACACCAAAAATGATCTTTAGCGGCAATTGATTAACAACAATAGCTTAATTGCCACTAAATATATATTTTTAGCGGCAAATAGTATTCTTTGTCCCTAAAGCCTATAACGACATTGGATCCATGGCATTTAACTAATGCCAGTAAAGGCTTTAGCACTAGTACTCTTTGTAAATGTGTATATTTATTGCCGATAAAAGTTATTTTTGTTGTGGTGAAGGGGCTCTGTCAGACAACTTCTAGACTATCTCGGGAACTAAAAATCAGGCTGAGAACGATTATCTACGACTCCATGACCCTGAAAGACCATGGAGGCTGCTAATCACCCCCTTTTGTCAATTGTCATGGCCACAACTCTTTTCTCCTGTTCAATGAGAATTGTGTGTGTCCTTTTATAATCTTTCTGTCATTTTATTTCGACGATAAGATAAAAGATATTCATAAAGAAACAGTATACCAAGACCTCATGTTCATCCACCAGACTTAATTTTTTGTCTCCTTAGAACTCAAGGATAAGGTGGTACAAGAAAAATGAAGCATTCAATTCTTTCAACCTATTTGTTTATGTTTATTTTCTCTTTTATTTTTTTTAAAAAGATATAATTATTGAGAATGTGAGTACTAATATAATTCACAAGCCTATAAATGAGATACTAGAAAATAGTTGTACTTTGGATTGGGTAGGGGCCGCGCGAACGCAGGCCCCCGCTGCAACAAATTATGACGTAGGCTCGACTACTTGAGCCGACCTTAGGCAGGCACCCCTTCAAAGTGCAATGGAGGTCACCAACCTAGGCCATAGGTCTTATTGATCGCCCATTGACCCCGTCCAGGTAAGTATGTTTCTTCGTTGTCCTTGGCCCTTATTTATAGTATCTCCTCATTACTCTTCTGTTTTATTTACTTTGCGATGTGGGAGTAAGTCATCATTTTTCAATTTTCATTTCAAATTCAACCTTGCACAAATGCTCATCCAGACTAAGCATTTTCCTTGTTATCTGTATTATAAGAAGAAATGAATAACAAATAAGAATGCAGTTGTTCTTTTGATGGTGCTTCTCTCATTTTATTTCGACGATAGCATAAACTATAGTCACTTAGAACTCAAGGATAAAGTGGTACGAGCCTATAGAACAGATCCTGTAGTACAATAGTACGGCCGAGAAGAAATGAAGACAGACAAGAATGTAGCAGCAGAGAAACATATATGTAAGATAATGTAGTTTATGAATGATGGCCACTTTGAATTGTCATAGTTCAAGGTATTAGGAGATGCTGCAGCCTGATGCAATAAACGTAAAATAGTTTAACATGTTCCATGATGACTCCAAACCATTTTCTGCTCGAGTTCTTCTGTAACCAAAATAAACAAGAAGGGAAACTAGGCAATGGGCCTTGTTGATAACCCATTGACCCCGTTCAGGTAAGTATGTTTCTCCATAATTGACATTGGCCATTTTGTTATAGCGTCTCCTTGCATTCACTTGACGGTGTGGGATTATGATATTATTTGCCAAGGAAGCAGTGCTAGTCTGTAAAAAAGGGTAATTAACATCCTCAATGTCCGAAAGAAGCATTATGTGCTCAGTTTATACTACTGATAATCAGAGACGTTAGATCACATCATTAAATAATAGAAGTAAATTCGTATAACGTTCAGGGACAGATGTAGAGTTTAAAATTGTTGGGTTTAGCAAGGTGTGAATGGAAAATAAAAAGAGAAAATGGAAAGTGGAAGAACCAATAAAAGTGGGGGAACCAATTTTGGAGGGAAAATGAAAAGTCATCATTGCAAAAGTGCAAATGAAAGGTCATTTTTACCACATCGGTAGAAGAAAGGAAATTGTTGTCCTTATATTAGGAAACACTTCCTCTAGTTCTTAAAGGGTTAAGAAGAAGGTGCCCCCTCGCGCCTCGGTCGGCCTCGGCTTTGGATTTGATTGATAATATTTTTGGACAAAATTTATTTAATCAATCTTGTTAAATCATTTCCTTTCTCTTATA